AATGTTAATAAAAGAAATATTATATGTTTTAATAATGGGATGCTTTTATCTTTTGCCAAGTGTCAATAGTAGCTCTATCTTCAAAATTTAATATACCGTAACACATATGACCCACGTTTGTTAAAAAGGACGTATGTTGGTTGAATTTAGCCAGCCTTAGCTCGTCTTAACCGTTTCACACTAAAGATATATTTTAGATATGTTAGTTATTAGTTTATAAGTTTGTAATTTATTTTTTATTTAATAATATAATTTTTATAAAAATAATAATTAAACAGAACTCAATGATTATTTTTATTATATTTTAAATTTTTTATATTCAAAATGAATGTTTATCATGTATTTGATTATGTTTATCTACAGTTAGTTACACAAATTTAAAAATGAAGCTTTAATAAGTTGTATTTACGCAAAATGACTTGTAATCTTGAATTTCAAGTAATATAAATCAATAAACAGTATTTCATATATAAAAAATGGTTTTTAAGAGTTTTTGTCAAATGCTTTATAATATAGTATAGATATATATGAAATTACCTTCATTTTGTCCAAATCGCCCCATGGAGGCAATTTTGACCTCTATGTTGTTTTCTAGTGAAGACAACTTATGACGCAACGATTTGACACATTAATGATGATTTGACGAGACATCAGGGGCGTTTTTCATTGGAATTTTGTCTTTTTTATGACCAAATGTAGTATATATATATATATATAAATCTTGTAGTATTATCTATAAAATTGTAGTAATCCAAACATTTTTACTCTCAGAACCCTTAACCCTTAAACACAATCTATCATCACAACCCTTAACACAAATTTGAAATAACATCAAAGTGATAATGGTTCCATGTATGTTCAAAGTGTAAGGTTAAAGGTTGTGAGAATAGAAGTATTTGGATCACTACAATTTTATAGAGAATACTACGAGATTTATGTATATTACATTTGGTCATAAAAAATACAAAATACCAACGAAAATCGCCTCCGAAGTCTCGTCAAATCATTGCGTCATAAGTTGTCTTCACTAGAAGACGAAATAGAGGTTAAAATCGTCTCATGGGGCGATTTTCACTTTTTGAGGGCGATTTGCCCATTTTCAGATATAATATTTGATTTTTGTCTCCCAAATAGTATACATGTGGCACCCATCCGTATCTTATAGTCAAAATCGCCCTCCAGGCGGTTATTTTGGGAAACAAACTTTGAAAAATGATCATTTTGTTAATGTGCAATGTATAAAATGGTTATTTTGTGTCGTTTTCCCTACCAAAAGTTATTATATCAATATTATATAATATTATATATATACATACATACACGATAATAAGTTATCACAAATACCATAATTTAAATGAACATATTCAATAGAAACTTTCATTTATACTTGATTAGTCAAATTTGTTGTCCATTGTGAGGTTGGGCGGTAAGGTCAGAGAAGAGCAATCACCATTCTTAAAACCAACGTTCTTAAGACCAAAGAGCCCATATTAAATATGTAAATTACTCTTAATAAAATCATGATTATACATTTAATTATTTTTGTTCAATTGTTATGTTGAAATATAAAATTTGCACTTGGTGTAGTCTCCATCGGGCATGTGTTGGTTGACATTTGTATATTTATTTGGTATTTTCTCGATTGAATTAAAATGTTTGTTTTTTCATTTCAACAGGCTCGAATTGTAGATATTATGAGAAGTCGCTCGGAGAGAAGTTAAGAGAACCGTGAGTTACAATTTTGTATCTAGGCTTAAAGAGTTACTTTTTTTTGTAGCTGAGGCATATATTGTTAAATTTGTAGTTTATGTAGTATATATAAAGTTAAAGGATTATTCGAATCGGTAGAATTCATAATTTTTCATTCATAAAATATGTTCACGAGTTCTTTCAAACATGTTCATGTTAATTGTTTTTCATTCATTCTCTTCTTGTGTAGGATCGCCGCCATGGATCCTCGGAGGCCTGCTACATGTCGAGTCATGGCGACGTAAACTACATTGTCAGAGCGAGTATCGTCGGCGAGAAGAGAGGTGGGCGAGTTATAGAAAATATGGTAATAACCAACTCGCCTCTCTCTGGTTTTAGATATTGAAGACTATGATGGCAATATAGATCTGGTATCTAAACCCCCCCTCCTCCTCTCTGGTTTCAAATTTGAGTTTTTTTACGTTTTTGATCTATGTTTATAAGGACTTTTCTTGGTTTAAAACCCATGTTTGAGGCTGTTGTTTTTTAATATTTATTTTCTTTAGATCTTGATGTGGTATCATAGTGATTTTGTGTGGTCTATAACCATATTAGATTTGGTCTCAACCTATATTCAGAACATATCACATTGGTATCACAGTGGGTCTGCGTCCTACTGTTTAAAAGTTATAGGATATCTCAGTGGACCATAGTTGGTTTGTATTTTACTGTTAAAAGTTTGTGTATCTCAAAATTGTATAACAATGTTTATGTATGCCAGAATGAATACGAGAGAACAGAGATGAGAGAGAAGATATTAAAGGGTAGTGGGAGGACAAAAACATTTAAATACCTAAAATGCCATTTATTAAAATTTTAAATCAAAATTACCAAAACTATTAATTTCTTTATTATAACATATAATTGTGGTTGAGATGAGATATGATATTTATCATAAACAAACGAGTTCTCCCTTGAATGATCCCCCCTACACACACACACATATTAGGGGTGAGCATAGGCGGGTACCCGCCCTATTTGACAGGAACGGGAACCGGCGGTTCTTGAGATATTGGAACCGGAATCGGTTAGAGCGGTTCTTGAATTTTAGGAACCGGAATCGGAACCGCCGAGAACCGGTTCCGGTTCCGGGTACCCGCTTTCTAAAATATTAAAATTTTGTTATTTAGAAATAAAAATTAAAATATTGCCAAAACACTAAATAAATAAACAAGAATACAAATTATATAGAATAATGGTTACAAATATTGTTTAATGATTACAAACCATAATAGACTAATAGTAAATGCTGAAAGTTTAACGATTACATACTATAATTGTAAATTTTCAAAGTTTAACGATTATGAGTCGATGAAGACGGTCCGTGAGAGGCCTCAGGCCTGAGAGTATGAGTCGATGAGGCGGGACCTAAAATCTAATCTAGAGTTCTAAGTTCTTGACATAATTTAAATTTAATATTAAAATAAAAATTATTATTTTTTAATTGAAAAATACCGGAACCGAAACCATTCTCAATTGGTTCCGTATTTTAGGAACCGGAACCAGAACCACTCATATCGGTTCTGGGCAGTTTCAAGGCAATTTCGGTTTTGCAAGTGGGTATCCGGTTCCGTTGCTCACCCCTAATATATATATATATATATATTGAAGCATCCATTCTTCTGAAGAGACAGTTTAATGAGGTTCCATATATTCTCAATTACCCCTGGTATAGACACGTTTATTCTCTTTTGGTTAATTACCTTGAACCGGTTCTTTTTTAGTTTTCTTTCCATACTTCTTTTAAGTGTATTATAACTGAAAATTATTCACGCACACTACTCTCTTTGATAAGGGTTGAACATATAACCATTTTAAAGACTGAGATCAACCGAGTATTGCTTGCCAATCTCCTTTGATAAGTAGGTGAATCCAATTACTTTGGACAAACGAATATGAACATGAAAGTTGTGGACCCATCCCCATTTAAGATGTGTTCACAATTGTTTAATAATTGCTATCCAGTTTCAGTCATAATCTGTGTCAAATATTAGTAAGTGAATCCAATTACTCCTATTAATTCCTTGATCTATTTTATTTTTATGTATATTGGAATTGTTTGTTTCAAATGGTTAATAATTTATACTACAAGTGTTTGTAAAAGAGGGATTGAATGCAAATACAACAAATTTTCACTTTTTAATTCTTCATGTGTATTGAAAAATAAAGAATTACAGATTTGTTGTGGAAGTTATAAAGGTAATACCCGATCCTTAACAATCTAACTGGTTGAAATATTTGCCTATAGAGAAATACTAAAAGAAATAGAAAAACGTGTTCTTTCAGATTTAAAGAACTGAGATAACTTTCAAATGTCA